TTTGGCACTACTTTCGTTAATACTTGGTCTTGGCTGCATTCTTTTTTTTCTGTGGGGTTTACAAAGAATAAACATTTTCTTGCAGATAAAAAACCTTTTTGCCTTTCTAACTGCCCGGGTAAGCTTGTTTGGGGAATGCACTCTGTTTAAAGAGAACCGTAACATTAAATAATCTTGCACTTGATTTCTCTGTTACTCCAGGTGAGCATTAACCTGTGCAGCATGACTTCACTCTTATGAAACAGACAGAAGAGCAGATACTTCCTACATTCTGGTACCCTGTATAAACTCATTATATTACTCCTGTCCATGGGCTTTTATTTACCGCCTTCTCTCTGGCATCATAGACACATGTTCTGTGAGTTCGGTAGAAGCTGGGCAGGGTCCAAGCCCTTGCTGTTTAGTTAAGCCTCTCCCAGATGGACTCTCCCCGTCCTTCTTCCCTGAAAAAAGGGTCCATGCAGAATGTTTTTAAGCATAGGCAAGATGTGAAATTCAACCAACCTATGGTTTTGCATAGATCTGCTTAAGGGATTCTCTTGCTGTTGGATCTTCACTTGTTTTCCTCTACATAGTAGTCTCTTTTGAACTAAGACCTCTCCCTCTGAATTTTATTTTCTTTCAGAAAGCCAGCTTGTGTATATTTCTGTTGGCTGCTGTTTTTGCTGGTATTCATATGGAAATTCCAGTCTGGCACCTTCTAACTTTTTCCAGCCCAGTTTTAACACTCTGCAGTTAGGCTTCCTTGTAAAGCCTTCCCTGGTTCCAGTTATTTCTTCTGCTAGCCATGCTAAGACACGATCCTTATTCCTCATGGAGACGCAGTGATCCAGTTTCCTTCTGAAATGGTAGGGACTCTAACTGCAAAGAAAAGATGGTTGTAAATATATTGCACATAAATTTATTAAATCAAAATTCAATGCAGTGGCGCTCTAATTCTTCATTGATCCTCTGGAGTATTGGGAAAGACATCTGTTCAAGCTACAATGCTTGCTTAGGAAAGGTGAAATAGCACCATATCATTTAGGCAAGATGAGTGGAATGAGATCATTTAAACAGTCAAAACTTGCACAGGCCAACCTTTGATTTGTAAACATTTAACCATCTGAAATGGAAAACACTGTACTGCTTCATCACCAATTGTGTACATAAGAGTCACATGCACTGAATTTAAGAAACTACAACTAGGAAGTGGGCTTTGATTTTGATAGTCAATTTGGAAATATCTCTTAGGGACAGACATTACACATAAACTGGTTTAAGTGACCAGAAACTGGTTTAAACCTATAACAGAACAGATGTTCAGTGCACATAAACCAGTTTGAAAATGGCTGAAACCAGCATGAAATAAACCTGGTTGAAGCTTAGGACTTTTTGGAGGTAATCAACAGCTCAGATGGTAATGTCCCTGCATTCCTTACTTTGGAAAAAGCTATTTAAGAAGAGCTTGTAATGAGCAAGGTGTTGTTTTCTGAAGAGGTGTTAAATGCTGATAACAGAACTGATAAATGTTCTGTTATCAAGGGTTGGGGGGGGCTCCCTAATCACAGCCTCCTGGCTGGGCCTGGTCATGCCCCGCTCAGCTCAGCAGTGTGGAAGGGAAGGGAGTGCTGCTCTAGCGCCCCACAGCTTCTAGCCTGAGCCACTGCAGGCACGGCCTGCATTTCTGGGATGTCTGTCTGGTTACAAAACTAATTTAGCCTAGCCAGGTTGGACTAACCTGCAAAGATTGAATCAACTCAGGCTCAGGATTTTTGAACATCTGGCCCTAGTCTTGGTGTATAAATATTTTAAAGGGATCTATTTAAGGTAAAATATAACTCTCCAAAAATAGTTACACTTCCAAACAAATCTTACTTTGAGGTAGAAATAGTCATGTGAAGAAAGGCCAGCTCTCTAAGCCTTATTTGTAGTATTTCTTCAGTATATTTATCACCTATTTTTCAATAAAGTCAGAAGGAAGCACATTCATTTGCTGCATATTCAAATAAACGATCCTTGATTTATAGATGTCATTCTTCTGATTTTATTAGGATAAATTTGAGAGAAACTATTTTTCCAAACCTTTTTCTTTTTGTGGGGGAGGCACATACATCATGAAGTTGCGTTTAATTCATTAAACAGTGTACTTTGGGAAGTAAAAACTTTTGGCATTGGCTGAACTGTGCCTTTTGGAGACAAAGGAGGACTTCATTACGAAGCTGACAGTATGGAACTCCAGCGTTCCAAAGTAAGCAAATGACTACCTGCTTCAAGTTTGTACCTCCTCCAAATCTTTTAATGTGGAAAAACCAGGGGTGGAGAGGGATCTAATTGTCAAAACAGTTTGGAAAGTTGTTAATTTTATCTTGCATTTGACCCATTCAATTGTAATGGTCTTATCAAAGTAACCTCAGGGTCCAAGACTATTTTGAAAGCTGTATATTTTCTGCTTTTATTAAATGGGTTTCTTTCAGAGGAGGTGGTCATGTTTCTAAGAGGCAGCCATTCCATATCCGTCTCTGTTGGTGAAAAGTGTACAAAGATGGGGCTTTTTGGAATTCACAGTAACAAGAATTGGGCTTATTTTTATTTCACTCGATAAAGAGCTTAGCGGGCCTATTTGTTATGCAGCCACATAGGCCTAGGCCCCCAAGGAAACTAGAAGCCTCCCTCAGTGGTTAGAGAAAAGCCACTAACTGCATAACAATACAATTTTGGGGGCAAAGTATGAAACGTAAAAAGGTCAAAGGTTACTAACTAGGGTTCCAAGGGAAGACACTCAGCAGAGAACACCAGTTAAAGCCCATTGCCTCTCAAACCGAGCTAAAGAGCCTGTGGATGTCACCAAGTAGAAATGCCCGGAGGGGTGCCTGTACATGTGCCCGGACATGTTCTCATTAGATTAATCAATTAATTGAGTCTGCCGGAGGATTCTGATTAGAACACATCCCGCATTTCAAAACGGTGGTGGGGGCACGTTAAAACTCGTGAAACAAGCTTTAGTTAAAGTGCCCCCACAAACATTTTGAAACATGGGACACTGAATACATGTGATGCTGTCCAGGAGCTGCTCTAATTAAAATGTCCTCTTCCACCCTGGAGCATGTGTGTAGACACCCTCAACAACCTCAGACAGAGTTCAACCCTTGGGCCCCAATACCCGTTAACAAGTTTCTGAGGTTAGGATCCAGAAAATTAATGGGGAGCCAGCATACAGTGGAAGAGGCTCTACAAAAAATGAACCGTTCCTCGTATGACTTCATCCCTATGGACTTGTGTGCTGCCAGCAGTCCAAGCAGTATCACAGTCCAGCCTCCTGACTGTTTTCAACAGTCGATTTGTATGTGCTAGCTGTAATCATGACATTCATTATCAACCCAGTTTGAGTTGGTGCATAAAAGTGCTTCTTTCTTCAGTGTATGGGAGAGGAAAGGGATGCTTTTTAAGACTGTACTTTCTTATAATTTCTGGAATCAAAGCCAGAAAGCGCTAGATCTTCAGCACATTGAAACAGTAATTAATATATAATAGATTACAAAAAGGGAATCTGAAATGCCAAAGTATCTTAATTGAGTCAGAGCTGCTGTGATATGCTGTAATAAAACTACAGAAGCGTTCAACTAAATCCTCTCTAGTAGAAGGGAGCGGGGGAAGGAAAAAATCCTATCCTATCCAATCAAGTTCAAAGTTAAGTGGCTCATTTATTTATAATATTCCCTGTGTGTGGCAATTCAACTCAGTTACAGGAGCACATTGTCAGGTTCAGCAAATACCCCTTGTTACTGCTTACAATGAAAACCTCCTTTTCTCATTAAATTATACATCTAAGATTTTTTTTCATAATTAACATACAATTATTTCCATCAAAATTTAGCTGGGTACGAACAATGATGGCTCAATTATAATATAACAAAATAATAGCGGCAGTTAGAGAAAAGGCATTCTTTTCCCTTTGGGTATCTGGAAATGCTCAATGAATATTAAAATTTTATGGTGAAGTCAGGTTTTCCTGTTCTACCTCTGAAGTGTATACTTAACTGTTTCTTTTATCTAACAAACATATGCTGATCTCAGAGAGAGAATCTGCTCCAGGTGTATTCCCTTGTTCTTTTTCCGACGTATCACTCCAGTGGGACAAAGTTCCAATTCTGATGCGTCTTGTGGAAAATTCATGGCAAGTATTTAAAATTCACTAAGTCTTTTCCTTCAGCACTGTAATAAAGCCAGGGGAATGAATTCTTGTAAGTGAATTAACTAGCATTTTGAAATCTCGATTTCTTTTTATCTCCATTAATTGCTCATTAAACTGGGCTGTATTTCCTGCCATATTTGCAACTGCATCTTAATTTTCCTCAACCTTGATTAAACAATTAGTCTCTTTATGATCTTTTCAGATAGTCTTTTCTCTATTTTATTTTTAGACTCTTCAGGTGCATCTTAATTTACCAAGCATTTGCTGATCTGCAGTTCTTTTGTGAAGAGTTTTTTTTTTTCTTGGATTCTCCTCCATAAGAATTAAATACAGCATAGCATGGTTAAGACTTAAACTTCAAGTCCACTTGTAACTGCAGTTATCAAAAATCTGACCAAAACGACTATGCGAAACATTTTGTTTGCTCCCGGGAATACGTTTCTTTAAACTCTCTTCCAGAAAACGCTGATACGTCCATTGTTCATACAACCTTCAGAATATACAGCTGCCATATGGAACTCGTAACGCTCTTACCCAAATGCTGCTCTGCTCCTTTCCTGGCACTTCATAGATTACTTGGCTGAGAAGGAAGGGTATTATATTATACTCGGGCGGTTAGATAGTGGTTGAGATCAGGCTCGTTTTATTGTGAAGGGTCCAAAGTAAGCTGCAATGAGAGCGAAGTGTTAATTTATTTACCTATATATTTTATTTCTGTGGGTTTCCCAGTCTAGTTGGACCCACGAACACTTTAGAAGTTGGAGGGAGGAAAAGGATGCATTTTAACTGATTCCTGGGTTCTGTTTATGGCTACGTGACAGTTCCCTTGTATGTCCTTAGGCAGATCACTTAAAGTATCTGCTTCAGTTTTCCAGTCAATGAATAGTCTGACTACATTTATTGAGAGGGTTTGTTAGCTGTAAAATATTGAGCTCCTCTGATGAAAGGTGTTAGAAAGGTCAAGAAATAGTAGCTTATTATTGAAGTCTAGCTTGAACCAAAAACTCAGATCCTGAAAGTACAGCTGGACCTGCTTCTAAATATCACAATTGATTTCTGATTTATTAGGCATCGTGAAAACATTTGTTCAGAATCTGACTGGAACAAAAAGAACAGCACCTTCTTCTGAACACAGACCTGTGCAGAAAGGGAATATATTTCTTTTATAATATAACCACAAGGGGGCCTGTGACACCTGTAGCAGACTAGACCCTGATTAAAGAACAAAGCATGAACAGGTAGGCATGTTTAATGGCTAAAACAGTTTTCCAAAGTAATTTTTAAACAGGCACCTAAATTTTATTTATCTTGGAAACTGCATGTAAAGGAGCATGGAATTCAGCACCATAGACTCAGCTGACAAATGCATTGATTTCGTATATTGATTATACTTTTGTTGTTACAGAAAAATCTTCCCATATGAGACTCTGTATAGCTAAAAACTGCTTGATCCTATATTTCATTCTATTAAGGCAACAGAAGCAAATGTAGACTCTTGTCCAAGGCTTGACATAAATACAGGTGAATATATAGCTGAAGGGGATGTGTGCAATATTTCACATGTCTTCCATACATGCTGGTGCTATTCATATAATAAATTGAATTTATTATGTGCCTCATGCCACCTCACTTACAATCTTTATATTATCCATCTTTGTTAGGATGACTAATGTTACAACTCCCTAAGTAGCTTTCAAAGATCAGGTCTTGAAATCCACTGTTTAGAGCTCTCAAAAATGTGAAATTTGTGACACCTTCCAGAGAAGAAAACTCCTGTTTAGAAACATACTTAGGCAACTTTCAGTCCTGGACAAAGTCATCTTTAGACCCAAAATCTTATCAATCAAGAAGGCTAAAAATAAATGGCCTATATAACTGAAAAGTATCTGGAATCTCCTTAATTTGCAATGGGATATGGTATTTTTTAGCCCTGATAGACAATTTAATTACACAACAAAGCTTTTTCAAATTGCATTTAAACATTCCTGTCATGCTTAATTCTATCCCACCAAAGCCCAGGTAGTTGGACTCAGACCAAAGACAGACGGATTTAAAGGCAGAGGTACATAGAAAATACACACGCACACACGGGATAAAGTTTAAATAAAAGCATTTAAAAACAGATACTCTGATGTTGTGGCATCAGGGCTTTATTGGCATTTGCATATGCTCATTCATGGCTTCTCCACTCTTAATGCCGTTGCTCAAACCTTGCTCGGTTAGAACCCCTGTGGTGCCTCACAGCTCTCTGTGTGTATAGCATATGTGATAATCCCACATAGCTACAAAAGCAGGACTAGTCTTTTGATTCCTTTAAGGAGATGAGGAGGATTATAGAATGAATCTGGTTTTCCCCCTTTTTATTGAATTATATTATCATGTTCTTTTATTTGCATCACAGTGGTGTCTCTAGTCCTTAGCCAAGATAAGTGCCCCTTTCTGCTAAGTGCTGTATGTACACGCAGTAAGAGGAAGTCTCTGCCTTGAAGTGCGTGCAGACTGAACTGATTAAAACAACAAGCAAAAGACAAGGAGCACTCCCATTGTACGTGTTGGGAAGCAAGACACTTGATTCCAGATCCATTTTCTACAAAGCCTAGTACCTAGCAGCTTCCACTGTAGCCAGATTTGCAGATGAGATCAGCGCTTGTGTTGGTGCCTAGAATCATACAAAATTAGGATTGGAAGGGACCTCCAGAGGTCACATCTAGTCCAACCCCTGCTCAAAGTAGGACCATCCCCAACTAGATTATTCTGGCCAAGGCTTTGTCTAGCTAGGTCTTAAAAACCTCCAAGGATGGAGACTCCACAACCTCTGTGGCTAACCTGTTCCAGTGTTTCACCACCCTCCTAGTGAGAGAGTTTTTCCTCATATGCAACCTCAACTTACCCTGCAGCAACTTGAGTCCATTGCTCCTTGTTCTGTCATCTGCCACCATTGAGAACAGTTCAGCTTCATCTTTTGCTTTCCCCTGCAGGGATTTGAAAGCTGCTATTAAATCCTCCTCCAGTCTTCTCTTCTCCAGACTAAATCAGCCCAGTTCCCTCAGTCTGTCCTCACAAGTCATGTCCCCCAGCCCCTGAACCATTTTCATTGCTCTCCATTGGACTCTCTCTAATTTGGCGACATCCTTTCTGTAGTGTTTTGTAGCCCAAAACAGGACACAGGACTCCAGATGTGGCCTCACCGGTGCTGAGTAGAGAGGAAGAATCACTGCCCTTGACCTACTGGTAACACACCTAGCAATGCAGCCTAGGATGCTCTTAGCCTTCTTGGCAGCAAGGGTAGGCTGCTGGCTCCTATTCAGTTTATTGTCCACTGTCACCACCAGGTCCTGTTCTGCAGAGCTGCTGCCCAGCCAGTCAGCCCCCAGCCTGTCCCGGTGCATGGGATTGTTCTGCCCTAAGTGCAGGACTATCCACTTGTCCTTATTAAACCTAAAGAGATTTCTTTTGGTCCAGTCCTCCAATTTGTCTCTGAATCCTATCCCTATTCTCCAGTGTATCTACTACTCCCCCCAGCTTCATGTCATCTGAAAACTTGCTGAGGGTGAACTCCATCCCATCTTCCAGATCATTGATAAAGATATTGAAAAAAAAAACAGCCCTAGGACTGAGCCGTGGGGCACTCCACTTGAGACCTGCTGCCAACTAGACGTCAAGCCATTGAGTTCTACCTTTTGAGCCCAAATATCCAGCCAGTTTTCTCCCCACCTTACAGTCCATTCATCCAGCCCATACTTCTGTAGCCTGCTTGCAAGAACATTGTGGGAGACTATAGACCATATCAAAAGCCTTGCTAAAGTGAAGGTATATCATGTCCACTGCTCTTGCCCTATCCACACAGCCAATCATCAAATCATAGCCTGCAATCAGGTTGGACAGGCATGACTTGTCCTTGGTGAATCCATGCTGACTGTTCCTAATCACCTTCTTCTCCTCCAAATGCTTAGAGATCTCCTCCAAGTGCTAGATGAAGGTTGAGTTCTTTAGAAATCTGGCTATAAGACACTTGCCCTCATTCATATATGACATCTGGTACAGCAGGCAAGTGAATCAAGATTTGCAATTTGGTGTAATGCATTAACTGTTACTCTCTTGTTGTTCTTATGCTGCTCATATTTTGCACATCAGAAGCATGTGCATATGTAGAAAATGACCCACACTTTCTCAGTGGCATTGTTGTACATGGTTTGCTAAAATCTCTGAAGCCACCTTGGATCTTGGTGGTCTACAATACGGCGAGGTGAGGTGAGGTGAGCCCATTCTGTCTGGGCAGAGCTGGTTTACCAAGTACAAGCAATGCTCTCCATTTTCTAGCAGGTACGTTTTTCAGATGCCTATTTTTCAAATTCACAGTCAAGCTTCATTAGTCTAGGTATAGATACACCTAGGTAATTTTGGGTGCCAGTCACCATGGTGTATAGAGGGACTAAAATACCTATTAAGCAGGCCTGGCTATATTCCCCGGATCTGGTAACACATATACGTAAAATAGGACCTTTTTTATTAATACATATAAAGATAATTGCTTGTAATTATTGAATTAAATGGATTAGCTAATAGGAACCTAGTTCTTAATACTATTCCTTCTCATCCTATATATTTTGTCATAAAATCCATTTTAACAATCTCCCAGCTGTTCCAGGTTCTTGTTTGGTTTTAGTGGGATTGTTTTTTGTTTTTTAACAACTGCTTTATTTTACATATTGGGATGCAGAAAGTTGAGTCATCTCTAGGAGCAGAGAACTACCAAATAACCCTAGGGGAAGCTGTTTGACCACTGTGTACCTGCTTTATCCATCTGTAAAATGGGAATCTCACCTACTTTTAAAGGGAATGTCGTGAAGATCACGTGTTTGCCAACCCTTATATGATCACATGCAGTACTTATTGTGCCCCGTATAAGTGCTGGGTATTACTTGAGGTGGTTTTTTACAATGTCTGGGAGATGGAAGTTCAGAGGATCTGTGTAGAAGTGTTCAGAAGGGAATTTACTTCTCTGAGAGAGAGAAAAAAAAATGGCCATGGCATACCTAGCCCACAGCTGCAAAACGATTATGCACAATAACAAATACCTAAATATATACGTTAGCAAAAGAACCTGATGTTTTCTGGTCCCTCTCTCAGTTTGTTTCCGATTTACCATGGCTCAAGAAAAGAAGGAAGGAAATGTAGCAATGTGATGGAGAACAGCAGGAGGCCCACTTAGGTATTGATAGGGGAGAGGCTGGAAGAATTGAAACCAGGAGTTTTACTGCATTTTTATGACATGAAATAATGCATTAACAATCTGATTCTCATGCTGCGTTTCTAAATAGCAATAATGCCTAGAAAGTCAGAAACGCTTCTCAAGTATAGTCAAACACAAAGGCAAAGGTTAGTCACTGCAGAGGGAATTTCTATTCAATTATCCCACATATATCCCATCCACTTCCGTGCTAAAAAGATGGAATTAATCTAGTAGCTTACAGTATAGATCTGTGAAGTCCTGAGATGTAGGTTCCCTTCCTAGCTCTGACACCGGGATGACACACTTTACGCACAGAAGATAAGAATGGTCCCTGTCCCACATTGCTTACAATCTAGCCAAGATGACAGAAAGACACAAAAGAGGAAAGGATGACACGGCAGAATTTTTTCACTTGTTTCTTTGTTTTTTTGGCCTCATCTATGTTTAATAGTTATTTAGTCTGGATTAACCACTGCTGCTTACTCTCTTCAACTGACAGTTTTATATGCTATTGCTAAATTACTGTTTGTTTTCCAGTAGTGCCCACAGCATGCCAGGAGCAAATGCACACGGCCCAACATTGTCTGTGCCCTAATTTGTTTGAATATAAGTGACAAGGTGAAGGTATGGGATGCAACTGAGTTGTGCCCACTTCTTATATTCAGCACTCATTTCTCAAATTTGTTTTTATTTAATACCCCTTGGCTGTATCTAGCAGCAACAGAAAAATATTAGGCAGTGTTTTCAGGCTTCAGTAATAATTGATGCTCTTCTTGGTCCCTTGGTTCTACCTTAAACAGTGAGGTCCCTCAACCAGCCTTATGCTGGATGACTTTCTGTAGGCACCGTGAAAGAAATGGGTCCAGGATTTAAAGGAGAATGGAGTAGCAGTTTACAGATTAATTCAAGGAAGATGTTTCTCTGGCAGGGGGAAGTTGGTAGAGGGGTGCTTAGCAGCCAGGTTTGTTGCATGACCAGAACAGGTGACCTGATAAGAGACAAAGG